AGAGAGAGAGAGAGAGAGAGAGAGAGAGAGAGAGAGAGAGAGAGAGAGAGAGAGAGAGAGAGAGAGAGAGAGCAAACAAATAGCTCCTTGGCATTTATTTGAAAACCCCTGCGGGTTATCCGAGAGGCCCTTCCACATAATTAGCAAGGGCCACCTCACCATGAACGAGGTAATGCTCATAGTCACGTTAGAGTCATGGCACGCCAAGTATATATGCTGTTGATTCACATTAAGGTCCGTGTTTCAGCAGTTATGGGACCACTGAGCACACGAGTTTCTGGGCAGTAGCAGGCCAACTCACCACGTGCTTTCAGGGCTTCCCTCCACTACTCACCAAATGACCAAAACTAGAAGGCATCTTCTGCTAGAACATGGAACCGTACGACGCCATATGTTTTGTCTTTTGTGCAAGTGGTGATGAGTGGAGCAAGACCCTTAGGGCCACTGCTAAAAGGAAACAAAAGAAAGAGAGGAGTGAATCTTCTGCTAGAACATGGAACCATACACCGCCATATGTCTTGGTTTTTGTGCAAGTAGTGACAAGTGGAGCAAGGCCCTTAGGGCCACTGCTCATAGGAAAACGAAACAAAAGAAACAGAGAGCTAAGGTAGTAAGTAGTTGTAACTTGCTGCTAGAACATTGAACCATACACCGCCATATGTTTTGTCTTTTGTGCACATAGTGACAAGTGGAGCAAGGCCCTTAGGGCCACTGCTCGTAGGAAAACGAAACAAAAGAAACAGAGAGCTACCGTAGTAAGTAGTTGTAACTTGTAACCCATAACCGCTTTAAAGCAGACCTGACTTTGGATCGACAACATATATTGCTGGGCTGCTCCTCTCTCACACAAAATTTGCTGAACGTCTCTTGAGATGTTGGGACCCTTGAAGATGCACTGCTGGGCTATGTGACACTCGCGGCCTAGGCCGCGGGCATTTTGGCCGCTGCGGCCGAGATTCTCGGCCGCGGCCGCGGCCAATGAGGCCCAGTCCGCGGCCCGGTTTTTCAATATTTTTTTTCTCCCCATAAAAATACGTAAATATATACAATCTCTGTGGTCTGACTGCAACTAATAGCTGCCTTCGCGTTCTCAATCGGCCATTGTATACACCATCAGATTTCCTTGCAATTGCCCTGCAGCTTGATGTTGATCTGGCTAATCTCGCTGATCCYCCCGACCTACAGCCAGAGCATCGTAATTACACCAGGGAAGGAGGTTTTACCATTGCTGTCCTAGAAATAGCGATGAGGAAC